GGGGGGGGGGAGTCTACTGGTCAGTAATGAGTGGACGTAGGGATTTCACTGGTCAGATGTGGGTGGATCTAGATAGGGATTTCTACTGGTCAGATCTGAGTGGGCATTGAGAGGGACGGAGGTATTTCTATTTGTCAGATGTGAGTGGACATAGGAATTTTTACTGGTCATATATGCGTGGACGAGTGGACATGGGAAAGGGAAGATGGATTTCTACTGGTCAGATTTGAGTGTGCATAGGGAAGGAAGGGATTTTTACTGATCAGATGTGAGTGGACGGAGGGGTTTCTACTGGTCAGATAAGGGTAGACGAGTTGACATACGGAGGAGCAGAGGGATTTCTGCTGGTCAGATGTGAGTGGACGTAGGAATTTTTTTACTGGTCAGATGTGAGTGAACTGAGGGGTTTCTGTTTGTCAGATGTGAGTGGACATGGGAAGGGATGGAGGGATTTCTACTAGTCAGATGTTAGAGGACAGGCGGGGGGGGGGGGGGGGGGGGGGGGGGGGGGGGGGGTTGTACTGGTCAGATGTGATTGGATATAGGGATTTCTACCGGTCAGCTGTGGGTGAACTGATGGGTTTCTATTGGTCAGATATGAGTGGACATTGGAAGGGATGGAGGGATTTCTGCCAGTCAGATGTGTGGATAGAAGGAGGGATTTCTACTAATCAGATATGGGTGGATGGAGGGGTTTCTACTGGTCCGATGTGAGTGGACATGAGGAGGGACAAAGGGATTTCTTCTAGTCAGATGTGAGAGGACATAGGGAGTGGGCGATTTCTACTGGTTTAATACTGTTGATTTTTATTCTCTAAAAATCCCCAAAAGGGTGTGCTGCAGGATTGTTGATTCACTAAAAATCAAAAGATTTTGGTGGGCTTTCTGAAAAAGCTTCCTGGGCAACCCAAGCGAACTTTTAACAACAGATGCCCAATAAAACGTATTGTTTTGTTTCTCAAACAAGTTTTTGTAGAAGTTCTGCTCCACATCTCTTTTTATCTTTTATATATTTGAAAACTTGGAAACATATGTATCACTTTCCCCATAAAACTACGACAGCTACAGAGTTGAAAGTTGGCAAGTACCTGCACAATGATAGATACGTCCCCATGACTGAGCCCGATTTTTGCTTTACCCATTTCCTGAATTTAGAAAAAATATATTAGACAAAAAGTTCCCGCCCTTCTTTGGCCTTTGTGAAACGAAACAAATCTGCGTAGCTGTCCTCCACAATGGAAGTGCAGGACGTGATATTTCGCGAGGCGCATTTTGTTTTGAGAGTATAGATCTAGACATTCTAATTTTTTTTTTTACATCTCTCAAGATTTATTGCTCCATTCCAGTAGAGTGTAAATATAGTAGGTCAACGACTTTCTGTTGATGTTAATGCACCAATCATTCCTTTCATTGAAAGGTAGCCCAGCTGGTCTGAGATACGTCACTTTCTGAGAGGAATAGAAAAGGGCCAAGCCAAATACACAGCTCACAATCGGTTGCATGAGCTCGACGTTGTGTCCTTGAGAGAGCCATTTTACACATATTATCGTCACGTCTCCTAGGTGGGAATGGGTACCTGGCTTTAGAATACGATAAATCTTGTAAGTTGTTTGTGTTTGGACGCTTACTTGACTGCTTGCACCAGCCAACCACCCGTCTAAAAGATTTAAATTACATGTATCATTGTATCGATTGGAGCGTAAAAACATCTAACATTACACCCAACTCCAATCATTCATCCAGTGCCAGATCTGCGACATAGATATACATCGGTGATCGATGTTCTCCAGTAATTCCTTTGCTCGGATGCTCTATTAAAAAAAGCTACGTTTCCCTGATCTTTCAGTTTCACTCTTACCCATTTGTTTAGGTTCCCTAAGTAGGTTGCTCTGGGCCTACCCCTGCCTTGTTTGCCTTCAGTTTTGCCAGTGAGAGCTAGATGCACAAGACCTTTATTGCATTTGTTGAGTCCTCATTGTTTTCAACAGTGGGTTTCATTAAGCCATGCCTCATTTGATTTCTTTTCCATCCACGATATTCTCAGCATTCTCCAAAGAAACCACCTTTCTGTTGCTTCTATTTTTTTCACCGTTTTTATTGTTTGTTCAGCATTCACATAAAGCATTTCAGAATTTATATTTTGGTAGTCATTGAGACATTTCTATTTTTCGGGATTGGGCTAATTTTATTGAAACTAGCCCTACCCCATATCCCATACCAAAAACATACAACAAAGAAAAAAACAACCTCCAACCCCCCCAACCCCCCCCAAACAAACAAACAAAAAATACCAACAAACAAAACAGCAACTAACTATCAAACTAACTTGACCCCCCCCCCCCCCCTCCCTTCACAGCCCCACAAACGTGCAAGTCCTACTACAAGTTGTCTCCCCCTAGCCCTGCCTTCACCCCGGACGGCTGGTACGTCTCCAAAGACAGGGGGAAATTAGACAAAGATGGCGTCCTGTGGGTGTACTGCCGGTCTGGTGACGTCACGTCACGTGGCTCCATTCTGGTCTACCACAGCTGGCCCGAGAAAATTATCAGCAAATGCCCAGATGTTGCGGACGTAACCATGGTGAACTTGAAGACGGAACATGGCGACGAGAGGCTGGTGGCATGCGTCATGCCGGTGAAGGGTTCGTCTCTCACGGAATCCGCACTAAACGAGTTTTACCAGAATTGTTTTATGAACGCGGATTTAGGAGGAGAATTTTACCCAACCGTTGATCATGTGATGTTTTGTGACGTATTTCCGGTCACTGCAAACGGCAAAGTAGACAAACGACAGCTGGCACAGGATGCACTTGGCAGGTTTCCAATTCCAAGTTCGACAAACTGAGGGCTCCATGACATTGTGGTGGAGCGGTCAATGTACATGTACTTGGTCTGTAATCTGGAGGTATTGTGTTTGAACCCCACTTAAATCCTGACTAATTAAATACGTTGTAGATCTATGTATTTCTTTTCTTTCCTCTCTGAAATAAACAGAGCTCTGTCTCAGGCAGGGGTTGAATTTTTACTGTCGCATCTTATATCTTCTGCATAAAGAGGGCATGTAAAACAACATTTTTAAAGAGCGCTGAATGTTATTTTTGTTATTGTAGGTTGTTGTTGTTGTTGTTTTTGTTGTTGTTACTGTTTTTGACATTATTGCTATTGATGATGATGTCGATGTCGTTGTTGTTGCTGTTGATGATGATGATGTCGATGCTGTTATTGTATGTTGTTGTTGATGTTGTTTATTGTTGATGATGTTGTTGTTATTGCCGTTGATGCTGCTGTCGATGCTGCTCTTATTACTGTTGATGATGAGGTCGATGTTGTTGTAGTTGCTGTTGATGATGACGTCCATGCTGTTATTGTCTGTTGTTGTTGATGATGTTGCTGTTGATGTTGCTGACTGATGTCGATGTTGTTGTTGATGATGTAGTTTATTGTTGTTGATGTTGCTATTGATAATGTTGATGATGTTGTTGCTGACAGTGCTGATATTGTTATTTCTGTTGATGATGTCGTTGCTGTTCTTGTTGTTGCTCATGTCTGATCTACAACAGGGAACTGCTGCTTC